AAGACTAAATGCTTAGAAAAGAAAAAGCAATCTGCTTGTAAATGTGTATTAAAAATTGTTTTTGGGAACTGAAATAAAGTTGAAATAAAATAAAATATATTTAAAAAACTTAAACTTTAAGTAAAATAAAATAATTAAAATTATTATTAAAATGACGGTCACACTTTATTTTAAGGTCCAATTCTCGCTATTAACATTGAGTTTTTTTTTTTAATTTTTGCCTCAATAAACTCGTAATTTGCTGTTTATTAATAGTTAGTAGGTAGATGTTAAGTTTAGGCATTGGATAGGATTGAAGACCATATTCTACATCATATATCGTTTCGCTTTGGAAGGCCTGTATTAACCCCCCGGAGCCGTGTGGAGTACTTTTTATGATGGAGGGATTCACTTTTTTAAGCTTCAAAATCTCAACCACCATTCACTGCCATTATAAAGCTTGGAAGAACCAGGACATTTTTCAAACTCCGATTGCATTTATCTGAAAGAAGATATGAAAGAAGTCATATACACCTAGAATGGCTTGAGGGTGAGTAAATTATGGGGTAATTTTCATTTCTGGTTGAACAATCCCGTTTAAAACCACAAAGATTTATTAAAATACCTACCATTAAATATAGAAATACTAATAAAGATACAAGCACAACTAATAGTTTTGTAGGATTCATGCGCTGTACAGATCAGAAAACCATATAATTATATCTGTTTTATTAACTAACATCTGACAAAGCAGCTACCCAAGAGTGAGTAAATGAAGCGAACACAAAGCAGGTCTATTTGCTAACCTGTGTTCTGTGAGGGCCACCGAAGGACCCTCTTGATTTGGGGAAACATTTCTTTTAGTCGGCTCTTAAATGGTGCCGTCAAATCACCAGCACAATCAAACGGGCTGAGATGAAAGGAAAGCCATCTCCTGCTCTCTCTAAAGCCTCTAACCTCTCCTCATAATCCCTTCAGATCCCACAGACCCGCACTAGCAATAGGACTTATTCCACAGATCAGGCATTTACTCTGTGTACTGGGAGAAACACTGAGGAAAAGCTAAGTATGGTAATATAAGTTTGTTGGAAACAGAAAAGAAAGAGGAGACAGAGAACGGATAGAGAAGAAAGAGATGAGAAACAAGAAATAGAGGAGAAAGAGGAAACACCCAGAGCAAGGAGAGAAAGAAAGGAGATGGCGATGAGAGCAAAAAGAGACAAGAGAAAGAATGGAGACAGATATGAAAAGCAGGACAGATTGAGGTGAAAATGAGAAAGACGAGACAGGGAAGAAATAGATAGAAGAGAATGAGAGAAGAAAGAGAAGAGAGACATGAGAGCAAGGAGAGTAAGAGTGGGGAACAAGAAAGAGAAACTTTGTAGATGAGAAAAGGAGACAAGAGATGAGATTGATGAAAGCAAAAAGAGATGATATCTAGATGAAAACGAGGAGAAAGAGATGAGATAGATGAGACAGGAACGAGAGAAGAGACATACAGTATGAGAGCACACACAGAGAGAGAGAGAGGAGAAAGAGATGAGACGGGTGAGAGCAAAAAAAGATGATCGGGAATGACAGGAAAAACAAAGGAGACAAAGAACTGAAATCTAGGAGAACAGAGGAGAAAGAGAGAGAGATAAGGAAGAGAGGACAAAGAGGAGACAAGAACAAGAGAAGAGACAGATATGAGAGCAAGGAGAGAAAGGGGAAAAAGAGGAGAAAGAGAGGAGTAACAGAGGTCAGATCTAGGCGAAAAAGAGGAGAAAGCTGAGCAGTTCAGTACCGCTTTAGTGTGAGCGGGATTATTCACATGTCGTTATAGTTGCGCCGCCTCTACTACCACGACTCCTAAAAAAAACTTTTTCATTCTGCGTCGCCCCATCAAGCTCTCGCTGGATCCGCTCCTCTGCTATCAATGAGAGGAACGTCTGTACTTCCGCAACAGACAACAAAACTTTTTGGTTGTTAAAAAAACGGTGCGCTCGTTCAAAACAGTTGCGTTCGATCCTTCGCTGGCTAACGAGGAGGCAGGAGAGAAAAGGAACCGACTGAGATGAGAGAAAGAAGAGAGTGAAGAATGAGAGGAGATACATGAGAATGGAGACATGCATGATGTGAGATCAAGGAGAAAAAGGTGAAAAGGGGGAGACAAATATGAGATGGAGAGGAAAAGTGAGGATACAGAGATGAGAACAAGGAGAGAAAGAGATGAGAGTTGACATTAGAGTATTAGAAGAGGAAGAGGACAAAGTGAGACTGAAAAAGAATGAGGTGAAAGAGGAGAGAACAAGAAGAGAACGAGAGGAGGCAGAAAGGAGGGTGTCAGAACTTTCTAAGCACTCCTACAAAGTGAACATCTACATGCACATACAAAGAGATAAAGCTCAACTGAAACTCATGAGATAGAGAAACACACACACACACATACAGAGCTTGCCATACTGAAGGCCTGATGCTTATACCTATTGTGTATCCTCGTTTCAGATCGCTGCACTGCGGACCACGGCGCTGGGAATTGGTGGTGTTGTTTTCTTGCACCTCAGATGTGGTTGTCTTGGCAACAGGTGGTGAAGATCTGTTTAAGGACAGACTCGGGATGAGTCGCGCTGGAAAACTTTGAGAGCCGATATCCACCGACTGGGACTTCTTCTTTAGTCTGAGAGGAAACAGCACAGAAGACATGCAGAACTGAGCCTTTAAACCACACAGAGCAGTGTTTGTAAACTTGTAAACTTTTTGTGCTGCTAAAGGCCTGTCTTCATTGATTCCATCTAAACATTTTGTGTATGACTAGATCCTCATGAGAAGCACTTTTCTTTGCCAGTCTATTATTATGGCATCATGCATCCATAAAAGCCAACAGATGGAGGCAACGGGTGACAATTTAACCCAGATTCTTGGTGAGTGCAATATGTGACTGAGCTTTGTGACACATACAGTAACTCTTATAATTAAAAAAAACTAACAAAAAAACAAAACTGAACTATTTTTTCTTATGGGTCATTAGACTGTAAATGTCTTTTTGTTTTGTTTTTTTAAAGAAACACTGGTGGCTTCTGTTTTATCTTTCTGTTTTTTTTATCATACACAAGTTTTGTTGCTAAATCTCTGTTCACAGCTTGTATTATTTTATAAGATATGTGACATTTGCAACCTTTAAAATCATACTGCGGGGCTTTTATGGTATGATGATGGTATAAGATGGTAAAACTATGGTACTAATATGTTGACACTAAATTATTGCATATACTCATTATTAAATGGTACTCTAAATTTCTTCAAAAAACCATATGATTAAAAGAACGTGATAACATGGTGTAAGTAATTCAGACAGAAAGGGCATATAGTACATGCATGAGGTTTCATTGTGCAGCTTAAGCAGAAAAAGGCAACATGGCACAGTAAATTTGCCTTCTGGACACTCTGAAACATTGCCAAATTTATCTGGAATTGTAAAAATGCTGCATTATTCAAGAGAGTCATTTTGGATTAAAACTACTGAACAAGATGAAGAAAAAGTTGAATTCCTTCGCTCAAGGCAAATTTTTAATCTTTAAAGTGATTTGCTTTAAAACATGTAGTGAACCTAAAGAAAGAAAGGCAGATGACTGGAGTCAAGATCAATTCATTGTTTGATCTAACAGTCAATCACCTTCAGCTTCCATTTCGACTCATAATTGGGACAAAAAGCCTGAAAGAGCAAAACAACATTCCCAGGAATCCTGTCAATCATCTTGGGGTCAATCCTGAAATGCTGCCAGCATGAGAAATCAGATAAACAGCATGTGCTGTTATGTGTAAAAGAACCAGGTAATGAAGAGTCAGATTGAATCTGCAGACTTTTTCACATTTCTGAATTCTTTTTTGAGAAAACTGTGGAATGGATTTAAACGTGGTACAACGGGAGTGCTACACACTTACTGGTATCTGTAACAAATTTGTTGAAAAGAAAAAAAAAGGAAAGAAATAAACAGTAAAAATGCAGGGGTGCTGAAAGTTTGGATGGGCTTTCAAATTCTAGTTTGGCTGGTGACCTAAGGACCATAAAAAAGGGGGTCCCTATAAAGCTTCAAAACTGCGCCACCTACTGGTAATAAATCAAAAATAGAAATAATATGACAAAAAATATTTGTAAAACTCTCTCTCTCTCTCTTTATATATATACTGTATATACATACATAAACAACATTTTCTAATATTTTAAATAAATTATTATTTATAATTCAGAAACATGTTACTGCAATTTAATTGTAGATTTAAAGCTATGTTTCCTGCATAAGCACCAACGCTCAATGTGATAATTTCATAAACATATGGCTACTGCTTACATAAAAGTTAAGGAAAAAGCATTATGAGCGAGATATTGATCCCACATGTCAAAAATGATTACGTATTATATACTGCTTTATAATCAGTTGAAAAAAAACTTGTCTATAGACAAACATGAAATTATTCTATCTTCCTACAGAGGCGTGTGTGTGGGCATGTCATTTAGACACCTGTCTAAATAAACAGCTCACAAAGGAGCCTCCAGCACCTCTCTGACTGCGTGCTGATGGCAGACCCCAGGTGCGGTTCCCTCCCTCTCTCTGTCTCTCTCTCTCAAACCAGCTCACCATTACATAATATGTGCAATCAGCCAGAAGACAAACACCAGCCGGCAAGATTACACGGTTAAGAAAGCCCAACAAAAACAAGGACTAGTTAGTTAGACAACACACAGCAGTAAGTCAACCAGAAAACTGAAGCCAGGCGGCCAGACTTTACACGAAAGTCCAACTCAACCAGCTCAAAAACACAGAATACTCATCCACCAAAACAGTCACCTCAAACAGTAGGCAATCCCTGAATGTACAGCGATTAACTTTACAATTAAAAAGTGAGAGGGATGTTGACTATAAATATTTCGGTAACACTTTATTTTAAGGTGTCCCGTGTTACACATGTTACATGTACTTACTATTATAATAACAATTATGCATAATTACATGCAAGTAACCCTAAGCCAAACCCGAATCCTAACTCTAACCATATAATAAGTACATGTAGTTAATTAATATTACTCAGTACTTGTATTATATATGTATAATTACACTGTAACAAGGACACCTTAAAATAAAGTGTAACCAATATTTCATGCAAAATACTTTAATCCAACTAAAAGTACTATTTTTAAACAATACAATTTTAGCTAAAACTTGTGTATTGATGCTTTATTTTTATTGTATTATTAGCTTTGCATCCAATATATAGACACATGCACACGCACACGCATGCACGCACACACATTACCGGTCAAAAGTTTGGAATAATTAAGATTTTTAAAAATGTTTTTGAAAGAAGTCTCTCATGCTGACTATGGCTGCATTTATGAAATTAAATGAAATTAAATGAAATACACAATTCTCATTATTACCAATGTTGAAAACACAATTTTTGTGGAATCCATAAAAACCATGCAGCAAAAAAACATTTTCAACATTGATAAAAATACAATTAATAATTGAGTACCAATAATAATTGATAACAATTGAACACAAAATCAGAATATTAGAATGATTCTGAAGGACCATGTGACACTGAAGACTGGAGTAATGGCTGCTGATTCAGCTTTGCCGTCAATATATATTTTGCCATTTTAAAATATATTAAAATAGAAAACAGTTGTATTGATTTGTAATAATTTTACTATTTCAACTATTTTTGATCAAATAAATCTAGCCTTGGTGACTGGTGAACATAAGAGACTTCTTTCAAAAACATAAAAAAAAACTTTTGACATAAAACACATTACCGGTCAAAAGTTTGGAATAATTAAGATTTTTAAAAATGTTTTTGAAAGAAGTCTCTCATGCTGACTATGGCTGCATTTATGAAATTAAATGAAATTAAATGAAATACACAATTCTCATTATTACCAATGTTGAAAACACAATTTTTGTGGAATCCATAAAAACCATGCAGCAAAAAACATTTTCAACATTGATAAAAATACAATTAATAATTGAGTACCAATAATAATTGATAACAATTGAACACAAAATCAGAATATTAGAATGATTCTGAAGGACCATGTGACACTGAAGACTGGAGTAATGGCTGCTGATTCAGCTTTGCCGTCAATATATATTTTGCCATTTTAAAATATATTAAAATAGAAAACAGTTGTATTGATTTGTAATAATTTTACTATTTCAACTATTTTTGATCAAATAAATCTAGCCTTGGTGACTGGTGAACATAAGAGACTTCTTTCAAAAACATAAAAAAAAACTTTTGACATAAATTAGGTTCATTGAAAGTGATTCATTTTGTCAAATAATAACCATTTTTGTCGGATGATGTAGATCACTGAATCAAAGATTCAATAGATCAGTGAAAAATCAATGACACTACAAGAGAAAATCATGCAGTTAGTTTGTGATTTGTTCAGTCAGACTGTTTATGCACCTGTAGTCAGACACACTTTTCATTTCTCCATTTAGATGCTCCTGTTGTTAATGTGAATGCAAAATGGCCACTTTTGAATTGGAAATGAGGGCCGAATGGTGAGTCGTCGCTGAGGTCCCGCTCTCGCTGTGATGCGAGGTGCGTATTAACTAGCTGGAGCGGCACTCTTTCATTCCTCCATGCGATTGAGATGTGGTGCCAATCATCGCCGTGGCTTTATCTATTATTCACAGCTCAGAAAGACAGTGAGGGGTAGAGGAGGGTCTGGCCAGCTTCCAGTCTTTGTAACACCAGATGTAAACAAAGCACCAGCCTTCTTTCAAACAATAATAACCACAGCCGCCTCGCCACGTGACTTCTGCTCTGATTAGAAGAATGTATTCATGCCGAAGCTGTATTTTAACCATCAGCACCGGCCATCGCTGCTCGAGTGTTTATGTAAACAACATTCTCCTTCAATTAAGGGGTAGATTATGTGATTCAGAGACGCAGAGGCTGCACTGAATCAGTACAGAACATCTGCCATGAAAACACTGCTTACTGCTCAAGCTATAATTAGAAAATCAGTTTTCTAAGTCAGAATAATCACAACCTGGAAACCCTCCTGAGCTGCTAAGCAGAAGATGGTAGAGGTCACGCAAAGTCACCGGAAGACGGATGCCATGGTATAAGGGTGAATATCATTAAAGGGGTCATATGATGCGATTTCAAGTTTTCCTTTCTCTTTGGAGTGTTACAAGCTGATTGTGCATAGATAAGATCCCTGAAGTTGCAAAGACTAAAGTCTCAAAACCAAAGAGATATTCTTTATCAAAGTTAAGACTCTGCCACGCCCCCCTAAAACGTAAAAAAGCATCATATGACCCCTTTAAAACATGTCGGGGTCATGGAAGCCCGTTTTGTATATATAAATATGAATATTTTAAAAATATATAAATACACACATATACATGTTTGACTGTCAATTCAAATTCCCTAATGCAAGCTTGTAAAACAACAATGAGATTTTTTGCACTACATTACTGAGAACAGCAGATAAAATGTGCTTAACTGTCCTGAACACAATGTCACAAACCACACAATCTTAATGGTTCCTAAAATAATAGTTTTTATTTTATTTAAACTAAAAACAGTGTTTTCCCCCCCATTTCTTTTGATTTGGGGTGAAATATCACCGGTCATGTTCTGGACAGGCTTCATGAGATT